GGACGGCTGATATCGCGAGAGACACGGGTGAGCGCCAGCCTAATGCGACGGGCGGTGCTGTGTCAAGTTGTATCTCAGAATCACTGATTATGTCTACTAAAGAAGAGCAAATACTACTGAATAAGTTTAAATAAAGACATTTAAATACTATTAAACCTCTACATTTAGCTGCATCTTTGTTGGATCCCAAAACTCAAGGGTGTAATTTATCAAATTCAAAGTATTAAATGCTATTGAGTTTATTGATGAAATGATATCTATACATAATAATATGACTGATTCTCTTAAAATGGATGTTGCAATAATGTTATTTGGAAATGTGAGGAGAAAATAAGTCCTTTGACATGGTGGAATAGTTGTTGTTCAAGTACTCATTTATGTATTATTGCAAAAAAAATATTAATTGTTCCTGCTACATCAGCAGCCACTGAACGTTCATTTAGCACATTCTCAAATATTCACACAAAAAAAAAAGGAACCGTTTAACAACATCAAATGCTTCAAAAATAACTCATGTTTCCCATTATTGGAAACAAAATTTAGAAAAGAATAAAAAAGTTACTTATGTTAATTATGAAGGTGAATCCCGTGAACCTAATGAAATGGATAAAAATACACTTAATATACCAATTGTGTCAGATGAAAATTTAATGTCAATTGATGGTTTAATTTCGTCCGACGATGAAAAGTGGTGTCCTAGTGACAGTGACGATGATTGCTATAATGAGTATTTTAAACAAAAAGACTGAAATTCTAGTCAATTATTTTATATTGTTCATTAAAACCATAATAAAGTGATTAAGATTTTTTTTTTATTACTATTATTATTTTAAACTTTTAATTAAGAATACTATTTTATTTTATTTTAAACAAAAAGAAAGATGTTATATTATTGTTATTTACATTTATAAGTAAACATTTATGTTAATAAAGTTATCTTTTGCTTTTATTACTTTTGAAAAACCTGGAAAATGTGAACAAAAAATGACGTATTAAATTTGGTAACTTGTTTAAGCATTTTATAGGCATCATAGTTGATGCCTATAAAATGATTCATAGCATACAGTTAATTTGAAATATAAACAGTGAAAAGTATAACAGAATCAAAAATTATAATTAGTTATAAAATATTTAAAATTCCTACACATAAAATTTCATATTTAGTTTAATTTTTGGTATTAATTTTTGACTTTGTGTTTGATACGTTCCTTAAATAAAATAGCTATTTTAAAACCTGGACTAGCGTTGGCTAGAAGAAAAGGAAAACACGTGTTCTCACATAGGATGTCAAAAACAAGAATGAGCGTTCACCACCGACGCTCGGTGGTCGATCGCACTCCAGTAGATAGACTTTGCACCCTTGCTAGATAGCGGGAGTACTCTAATCAGGCTGGGCTCGCGATGTAATAAGGCGGCTGATGAAAGAGACGAGGTGACCGTGTATTAACGTATCGCAAAATATACGGTACTATGTCATACTCCCCCGTCAAGCCACAATTTACATGCGTATGCAATCGAACCGCATCAATTTTAACCAACCATTCAAGTTTGTCTAATTTAAAGTTGATCTCAAATGCTTGTTCGCTCTATGGGTATATGCAACAAAAAGGAATTGGAATGCTGTATTTTAAGTGATGTGATTTTAGGGAGGGTTTAAATATTGTATTTTTTTATGTTAATAAAAAAATAAAAGGAAAGATTAAATGGTTGGATCATTGTATTTATGAGGTGAGGATAGAGGGGAATCAGTCATTGTCACAGATTGCTGGGGACGTTTTTTCAATCTGTATTGTTGGCCTCCACCTTCTTTCTCCGATTTTCTTATGGCCTTGGTTTTTAACATCATTCGTTGTCCGAATTCTTTTTGACGACGTGCGGATTTCGCTTTCTGTGAGGGAGTGCGGTGTTTTTTTGTGATAGGTTCTTTATTTGGGTTTTGCGTGTTTGCTGGGGGGTTTCGTTTGAAAGTTCACTGGCTGTTTGAGATGGACGCCCCGTCGTTAACTTTTAACTCATTTTTCTTTAGGGTTGAGCTCAGTTGCGTTGTTCTATTACCCTGATTATGGCCTGAATGGTGCCAGTCCAACGTACCGCTTTGCTCTTTGTTAGAGGGCTAAGAAAGGTTGGGTGGCAGGTCGGATTTTCATACTCATCAGTAATGGTATTGATGGAATGCGGGGACTTAAAGAGGGATATGATGTATGTTGCGTATACAGTTATATGGTGTCTTTGTTGTGACCACCCCATCAATATGTGATTGACCACTGATAAAAATAATTGAACGAGTTCCACGCGACTCGTTAAAAAGAGTCATTATTATTCTTTTCGCAATCAAAACACTCGCTCGAGTATCGTTGATACCAGACTGAACGGTATATTATCGTTTCGATTTTTCTTATTTTGTGCTGAGACATACTCGTGGGAATAGTGATGTGCAAATTCCCAGGAATTTTATGATGGGAAAATTTCCGTAACATTCCTTATACCGGGAATTTATCGGGAATATTATAATTTTATTAAATTTTGTTCATATTTATTAATTTTGTTTCAATATTTAACTAAACTTATAGTTGTGTATTTAGTATTTTTTATTGACTCATCAATTTTTCTAAAAACTTAATATTTCTAAAATATAATAAAATATTAATTGAATTAATGAATAAACCAATTATTGTAAAAATATATCATGTCTTAATAAAACAACAACTAAAATATCTAAGCACTTCTAATTGTAACAAAAGTCAATGATTCATCATTTATATTTTCAAATATAAAAATTAAACTATTATAATAATAAAGCATCTATCTAATAATATCACCATGTCAAGATTAAATAATATGTGGACGAAGCAAAGCACTATAAGTCAAAATATAATAGTGATAAACAGCATATAGAACCTTTAAATTTTCATGCAGCAAAATGATAAAGACGCGTTAAAATCATTTTGAAGAATAACAACATACAATTGGTTACAATTGACTAAAATATTTAATTTGATAACACACATATTTTTCAACAACAATCTACATTCACTTGCAAACGTGAAAAAAATGCAATCGTAAATAATATTTTTATTGATATTTAATAATTCCATTGATAAGGTACAATATCAATCTAACAATATTTATTGATCGTTTCATGTTCAAATATGATTATTAAGATAAACCAAGCAATAATAATCAGGCAATTTATGATTATTGTGTCTACGGAATTATATTGATTAGTTTTTACTATGGCAAAATGTGCTTCCAAACTCAAAATTAATGCTTTTAAACAACAAAATCTCAAAAATGACTTGTCCAATTTTTAAATTTCTAAGTATTTTTGTCATAAATAAAATTTCCTAACCGAAAATTTAAAAAAAAAGTAATGGTTGCCATTTAAATTACTGAAGTTAGGGTAGATTTCTACCCTTTTGCATTTGGTTTGAACTTTAATTTTAATCGTAAAAGATGCATTTAATTATTCAATTAGCCTGTAAAAAAAAAAATTATTAAAAAAATCAATAGCGGCTAAAAAAATCGATGGTTTCAAACTTATTGAACACTCTGTATAGTATCTTTCGTTAGTATTTCACCTTTACTCATATATATATAAAACGTGCTTTTGTAGGCATACATACCCCGAGATCCCTATTTCATTCTTTTATTATCTCTTTATACTATACCACCGCCACAGCTACCATTTTCTCTTCACATTATACTACTTTCTTCTTGTCGTACGTCGGTAGTGCCCCAACGTAGACACAAAAGTTTTACACAAATTAATTAATCGTTTTTATATTTATATATTGACGTCAAGTTCGTCGTTCAAGCTCTTCTCGAGTCCTCCCGTTGGATAAACTGATAAGCCCCAATCCCTCTAATTAGTAGACTACTCAAGTTGTAGAGTTTAGACCCGTCAGCACAGTCTAGCTCAAAAGTAGCAGACTGAAGGGTGGCTCCTTGTCAGCCACCAGCACAACTACCTTTTTACTATACTCACTGAAGGACGGTTAAGCCCAAAAACTAGCCAGCTCGTACACTAATTATTAAGATTGACTAAAGGACCAGTAATCCAACCTTGACTCTAGCCGCACACACACACACAATTCTAAGAACACGGTGAATATAAAATATTTGCTCTAAGTCCAGGTTTTAAAATAGCTATTTTATTTAAGGAACGTATCAAACACAAAGTCAAAAATTAATACCAAAAATTAAACTAAATATGAAATTTTATGTGTAGGAATTTTAAATATTTTATAACTAATTATAATTTTTGATTCTGTTATACTTTTCACTGTTTATATTTCAAATTAACTGTATGCTATGAATCATTTTATAGGCATCAACTATGATGCCTATAAAATGCTTAAACAAGTTACCAAATTTAATACGTCATTTTTTGTTCACATTTTCCAGGTTTTTCAAAAGTAATAAAAGCAAAAGATAACTTTATTAACATAAATGTTTACTTATAAATGTAAATAACAATAATATAACATCTTTCTTTTTGTTTAAAATAAAATAAAATAGTATTCTTAATTAAAAGTTTAAAATAATAATAGTAATAAAAAAAAAATCTTAATCACTTTATTATGGTTTTAATGAACAATATAAAATAATTGACTAGAATTTCAGTCTTTTTGTTTAAAATACTCATTATAGCAATCATCGTCACTGTCACTAGGACACCACTTTTCATCGTCGGACGAAATTAAACCATCAATTGACATTAAATTTTCATCTGACACAATTGGTATATTAAGTGTATTTTTATCCATTTCATTAGGTTCACGGGATTCGCCTTCATAATTAACATAATTAACTTTTTTATTCTTTTACAGTGAATTTACGACGGCATTTTTTTCTATTTTAGAAGGTAATGTCTTTAATTAGATACTATTTGTGATCTTATGATGTATTTCTAAAAGAAATCGGTTCAGATAGAGCTGAAAAAAAGTTGTAACTGACACACACACAAAAAAAAACACATCATAGTAAAATTAATACCTTCCTAGCTTCGCATCAAAGAATAAAATTTATTAAAAAAAAACATATTTCTAAAAGAATGTTGACCTTAAATCATCGAGCTTTTTCTGATCGAAGAGTTTTATCGTCCTCACTTTATTTAATTTTGACATAGTGATATAGTTAGATAGATGTTATATTATTATAGTAATTTAATGATAAATTTATTGACTTTTGTTATTATTAGATGCGCATAACTTCCTTAACTGTAATTTTATTTATAAATAATATATTTTTAAAATCATTTGTCGATTTTTTAGATTTATTTAAATATGAATATGTAATAATTTAGTATATTTTAGTTAAATATCCGTAACATTTAGATTCTTAGTGAAATGAAAATTTAATAATTCCGGTAACATAAAGTCTTCGTAAAAGTTAATAAGATTTTGTTCCATATTATCGTTCCAAAATTTGTCATCTCGAAGAATTTTACAATAAACTATACCTAAAAAAGTAAAATAATAGCATTTTATAGTAAACATGTTTTTGGATTTCAAGTATTCAATCAAATTGTTAAGTAATTAAATTATATAAAATAGTACTGAAGGTGATTCTAGTTTTCCTGATTATGGAGACTTTTGATAAATCGTTAAGCATTGTCATGGGTCTAATTTTTATATGAGAAGAAATCATTCAAGAAATTACATTGTCACGGTCGGTTGTAAAACAGTTATCGTAATCACTAATCATAATTAAATGTGTATATCAAAAAAAAATTTGGGTTAGTTTATATCCTAATTCTATATTTTTAATACCTTTTGGAGTCCAAATAATTAAATAACAATACTGTCTCTTTGAAATGTGCAGTTCTCCTTGTATTTGATAAAAAGTAGCAGAATGACGTTTTAGTACGAGTTCTTCATTTTCATTGTACTGTAAATATTTTATCACTTTATCTTTAATAGCTTTTTTGGGAGTCAAATATTGGGCATTAACTGGACATTTTATTTCAACAATGCCATCATCTCCAATTATACCATCCGGCTTCGCTATTAAATAGTTCAAGTTTTCATCAATAAATACATTGCATAGTTCAATCTTTACGTACACTTTCTTCTCAAAATTTTGTATTGCTTTCGGCTCATTAACTGTACCATATTGCTCAGAATACCTATATATATATATATATATATATATATCAACAATAGCATAAAATAGGAAATTATTATCTTCACAAAACTAAAATATTTAAAAATAATAATTGAAAATTATATGAGAAAATAATTTTTTATATTATTTGTTATACTTATTATTACTTACGGGATACTATTTTTGGTATCACATGATTTTTCATTCCGAATGCGCAATATTCTTTTCAAGAACGATTCTTTGTCTTTTGTTTGATTAAATTTACAAGCACTATAAAAACGAGAAGATATTAGACGTTCATTACGTACTTTTTCCCAAAAATCTTTATTAACGAAATGTATTTTATTTTTCTTGAATATTTTATCGTTATAGTCNTTTTTTATGTATATACAATTCAGCAAAAAGTACGGGAGGGCTGGCGTGTTACATTGTGAACTGTCGTAATATGCACAATGCTCTGCATTACGCATCTTACATTCATCAATATTTAATATTTAATTAATAAAATTATTAATATTTAATTAATAATATAATTATATTTAATATAATTTAACATATCAATATTTAATGCCAATTGTATACAAACAAATAATTAATTTATCTGTTATAACATATACACTGTTGTACACTAGCTATTATATATGTATATACATATTAAATTGATTATTGTACACAATACATCTGATCTTAAAATAACTATCATGTTATGTTCAATTTAATACAATAAATTGAGAATCACTAAATGCGCTGACGACAACAACCCATGAAGGGGTAATTAAAAATAATATAAAAAAGGCTTAGTTCTGCTTGTACATCAGTGAGCGAGTGTGCCAGCGAGCGGCTCATTCTCTCTCCTTTTTGAACATCTGAATTCAATAAGGAATTCAGTATTCTTCTAATTTTGATTTATTTTAAGCAAACTAGCCGCGACCTCATGTTGTCGTCGGTACATTTTAAAGCGATATCGAATACAATTATTTTGCGTTAACACTTTATTTATTTAAAAGAGACAGTATAAATATTTACGCAAATCTTGACGATGTTTGTACAAGCCAAATAAAAGAAGTAAGTAAATTTATATTAACCCAATTATTTAGAATTAATAATCTGAGTAAATAATGATAAAGCAATAGATCATATATTTATATTTATTTTCAAACTTTATTAATTGTTACTCTCTAGTTCGTACCTTATACATAATCACATTACATGGTACTCGTGAGATGGCCACCGACTCTTCGTTGTCTCAGTGTATTATTTCAGGTACTTACCAGTTAGGTCATTGTAATACCTCTATAGAAAAACTTAAATAATTTCTTTTTATATCTACTTGTCTTTATTGTTCTAAACCCTCGGACTCTACAACCCAGATAGAACCTCGTTGCTCCTGAATTGACCAAATCCCCAAATATCCTATATTGAACAATAAATACACCTAACATCTCTTTTTTTGCGAATTTTTGTATTACTACAGAACGTTTGTAATTGTCACGTCAATTATGCCGTTGACACCTGGCAATAGTTTTAAAATTATGACTGCAGTGGTCGAATGGACTGGTAATTCACATGATGACAATGTACGCCGCCACCTTTGACGTATTAAATGGTATGGTGTCAATTTAATTTTTTTTTATAGATGTATGATGTCTTTAGCTATCATTTGGCATATATTTTTATTAATCTGACCCTTTACCTGCCCACAGGGAGTTGTCAAAATGACAACTTTTCCACAAAAAATGTATCAACTTAACTTTTGAAAGTGTTCTGGAAGGTCTGACACTTTTATATATATTTTAAATTAAAGCTAATGTAACGTTCTTTATCATGAAAAATAAAATTTCGGACTTAATTTTGTCTTCACGATAAAAATGGCTACCAAATGCTATTTTTGTTGGGAAATTCTCAATTTTATATTTTTAACTTTATTATGCTATAACTTTTTGAAAAAGAAATGGATCAATACAATTTTTTCATGAGAAGCAGTATTTTTATACATCTTTCATACGACGTACTTACTTTCATATATTACACTTATATATCATAAAACTTGTAATCAGGATATAAATAAGGACATAGGAGGTCATCTAGCTTTTGGAATAATCGACCAATAAAAAAATTTAAAATAAAACACTATCTACAGATTTATATCGAATCTTTTTTTATGATAGTGATTTTAATCACTGTCAGATATCATTATACTTGATCCAACTATGCTACATCCCCACTGTGCCGCGACTCCACTGTGCAGGGTTTTTTCTTACTGATTCTGAAATAAACTTTTTTTGCAAAACACATATTGTGCCAGGCTATTATGGGTACATTAAGTGTTTTAAGTACTGCACGGAGTATGTGATCTATCCGTAATGACAATATGAAGTATTCTGGGTCTGAAGAAGAGCCCCAGCAACACGGATCCTAGTTATTAAACTATAGATAAAATTTGTTGCAAGTGTCATTTGCAATATTATATATTTTTACGTTTATAAAAAGTTTTTACCCAATTATACAAGTAAGTTTGTATTTTTAAAAATTTTAAAAACATATCAATATTGATTACCTTTGCTAATAAGTGTATGAGAAGTTTTGTTCATGTTTATTATACAAGGAATAAATGTCTTTGTCAATAACATTTTCACATAAAGTTTGAATTTTTTTTTTTTTATAAATGGATTAATATTTTCTTGAAAAGTATTTAATTCATTTGTTGTTTTACAATTTTCGCAAAATTCATTCATCGAAGAAAGTAATACTGAGTTATCTAAGTATTCTAAACTGAATTTAAGTGTATCCTTCTTTTGACTATCGAGTTTTGCTATATCAATAAGTCGTTTTGCAAAATTATATTGCCAAGGATTAACAACAAACTTGCCATAAATAAAAAATGAAATCATCCTAACTACGTATTCAGATACATGTGGAAACTGTATTTTGAAAATATGATTTGGATTGAAATTTTTTATCCGAATATCGTTTTTTAACACTTCTAAAATATGAAGACATAAAATTGCGTGAAAACACTCTAACAACTCTAATTCTTTTTTTAATTTGTTTAAGCTTGATTCTTTTTTTTGTCTACACTCATAATCGTCTTTACAAGATTTTGATAATAACAACATGTCATCATAATTTATTTGCGAATGATTAATAAATCTTTGATTTTTTCCACATACTAATGATTTGATATCATTATTAATAGTACTTACAACTTTTAAAAACGAATCGTCAAATATAGTGTCGTAATCAGGTGCCTGAAATTAATTTGTAATTTATTGTCTTTATAAGATCTTGATAATAACATTATGTCATCATAATTTATTTGCTAATTATGAACAAATGTTTGATTTTTTTGAATATTTAATGATTGGATATAGTAAAAAAGTTACTATTTTAAATCCCTCCTGTGAATAGGTTAAGTGTTAGATTTTCAAAAAAATGATATTGAATGAAAGGTAAATATCTAAGGATTTAATATAAAAAAACTTTTGTTGATTTTTGAAAAAGTTAAGAAAGTTTTAAGAAAATAAGTGATAAAAAATTTCGAAAATTAGAGATTTTTTAAATTTGTAACTTTTTTGGAGAAATCCCCCATTTGCAGAGAACGAGGGAAAACTATTCAATTAATAAGGGTAATGTCTTCAACAAGATACGATTTGTGATCTTTTGACGTATTGTAGAAAGAAATCGGTCTAATGAGAACTAAGAAAAAGTGGCAATAGACATAAAAAAAAAAAATCAACACATCATGGTAAAATTAATACCAATTCTCTAATAAAATTACAAATTTTAAAATTGGTAAATTTTGTCACTTTTTTTAAAACTTACATAACTTTTTCAAAAATTAAACAAATCAACATAATTTTTTAGCTTCGGTGCGAAGCTGAGAAGGTATTGATTTTACTATGATGTGTTTTTTTTTGTCTGTTACCACCTTTTCTCAGATCTCACATAACCGATTTCTTTCAATGATACGTCAAAAGATCACAAATCGTATCTAGTCGAAAAAATTACCCTCAAAAATTGAAAAAATTTCCCTCGTTCCCCGTCAATGAAGGAAACCTCCAAAAAAATTACAAATTTAAAAAATCGCTAATTTTCAAAATTTTTTTTACTGAAAACTGCCATAACTTTTTTAAAAATGAACATATCAATATAATTTTTTTTTTTTTTTTAGATGCTTGATATTTTTACCTATCATTATGTATACGATTTTCATAAATCTAACCCTTTACCAGCCCACAGAGGAGGATTCAAAATGACAACTCTTTCACAAAAAATTAACTTTTTCAACTTAACTTTTGAAAGTGTTCCGGAAATACTGAAACTTTTTATATATATCTTAAATTAAAGCTAATTTAATGTACATTATCATGGAAAATAAAAATTTCGGACTTTATTTTATCTTCACAGTGAAAATGGCTACCGTCTACTATTTTTGTGTGAAAATTTTCAATTTTGAATTTGACATTATGTATTATGTGTCATTAACTTTATAATGCTATAACTTTTTGAAAAATGTATGGATCAATACAATTTTTTCATGAAAAGTAGTATCTTTCATTTGACATACTGTTTTTTTTATATTGGACCATTTCCCTTAATACAGGGCGTGTTCAAAACATAAAAATGCATAGAGAAAGTAGAACTTTTTCAACGTAAATTTTTAAAGTGTTCCGGAAAGTCTGACACTTTTATATATGTCTTAAATTAAAGCTAATGTATTGTACTTTATTATGCAAAATAAAAATTTTGGACTTTATTTTGTTTTCACGGTGAAAATGGCTACCAAATGCTATTAACGTGTGAAAATTCTTGATTTTATTTTTTACATTTTTAACTTTATACACTTATTGTAAAGTGTATGAATCTACACAATTTTTTTATGAGAAATAATATTTTTTTATAATCCCTTTTTCGTTCAGAATA